TTTTAATAAAATAAATACATTAACTTGAATTTTTCTTTGTTTTTCTTTGTCTGTCTGTCTATCTATCTATCTATCAATCTGTCTGTCTGTCTGTCTCTCTCTTTATTATCAATACTGTTGAAAAGTTCTTTACCTACTTATTTACGCCTGTTACCTACCCGAATACTGTGGTACGGCTGATAGTGAGAGAAGAGTTAACTCTCTCCCTTTCCAAATATTTTCACATGATTACGTGCATACAATTACTGCGTTCTCTCACCAGGGATGTTGTTTACGAAATTTAGATGAAGAAAATTCAATGTTAAACGCTTTAACTAGGTTGGTGGATATTCAGTATCCATCTAAGAGAGTTGTAAAATCGTCATTCCAAACCAATGATGCACATGGGTTGGCTCCAGTATCCTGAGGAAATAAATGGCGTATGAACTAATTATTAGTTACTGGTTACCATGGAGCTGCATCTCTTAACGTTGCTCCACTGCATAATGGATTAGACCTTGAGGTTAAAACTCGGTATGTGGCCTCTTAAGGAAACCAACTGATTTGGTTTGGTCAGCAGAAAATGTCAAGTTAGTAGTTCTAATGTTAGATGCAGAGTACTAGGAAATAGACTGACAAGGTAAAGAGAAATTAGGAACATGTTTCATGTGTGCCGATCCACAGAAAACCTCTACGGGTAATGTTGTTTGGTGTAGAAGTAGGTTGGAAGAGATTCACAGCGCCCAAACCATAGCACCACAATTGGGCTGAGATATGTTGACAGTGCAGACTATCTATTTGAGGTCTTCGTGGCTATCGTAATCAGTGGTTAGAGACTTTGATTGATATGATTCGAAATAGTTCTGAATGACGAAGATACATTCACTACTTATCTTCCTTTATATTCTGAGTTCCTAGATTCCTTATAAATTTTTTCACTCCGCTGATCCATATTTTGTTCTCGTATCGTATCTTGGATAACTTATCTTTTCTCTAACCATTAATCCTGTTGCCACCTATGCTGCTAATGAGGTACAGTAAAATGAACCAATGTCACATGTGTCCTGTTCTACATTACATTTAAATGATTAAAGAAAACAGCTTCTCCAAGTAGATTATACATTCCAGTGAAAGCTATAAAGACCCCGAAGATGAGTAACGTACTCAAAGGAATAATTGTTATATAGGGAGTCAATTAAAGCTAGACTACCATGGAAAACCTAGTCGGTCGTTTCATCCTATTGTAGGACTCCTCAACAGTACGCATCCACAAACCTGCCTCACACGCGAACGCTTAACCTCTAGACCACTAATGAAGTTGAACCGGGTCTGTTAAGATTCACTTAAGACAATAGTGGACGGTGTTGCGATTTGGTGGATTAGTTGAAGTTAGATATTAACACCGTTGAACACCGGCTTAGTGGTTTAAAAGTTAAGCGTTTGTACGCGCGACTGATAGGTCCTAGGTTCAAATCCTGTGGAGCGGGATCGAGGATGCACACTGCTTAAAGAGTCCCATACTAGGACGAAATGGCCATCCAGTGCTTCCAGGTTTATTATTGTGATTTAGCTTCAATTGACTCATGATCTCAACTATTAGAATGACAATAATATCTATGAAATCCCTTCTGATAAATCAATTTATTTTAGTCTTGAATTAATATCAACTATATTAACATTTAAGTAAAACAAACTAAAAATCACTAAACAGTTATTTCACCTCAATATAGAATTTATAAACATTATTTATATCTATGATCCTGAAACTAGGAATCAAACTTTTGAGGTTAATAAATCTTCTTACTTTCTCATCGTGAGAATTGCAGAGGTCCCTCGTTTCAAGTATAAAAGATAAGAGTTTCCGATCCAATAATCAATGACGACTAGATATAACAAATAAGCATTCGATTCACAAATTATAATAATTAGCAATGGATATGTGATTTGAACTAACAATAAATCATTTCTTTGAAATGAACATTTCTGGATCATTGAATAAATTGTGAATGACTACTACTGGTTCATTTACATTATCGGTTATTAAGCATTTCACAAACGTTTTTATCAATACATTCATACTGTTTTGTAGTTATTTATTAGCTTTATAGGTAAATTAAAAATGAATTCATTAACTTTTATCAACATCTCTAATACATGGATCATTTTGCAGCCATATGTATAAATGATGTAAAACATTCAATGGATTGTTATTTAAAATACTTCTGTTAATTCACTTGATATTGTTGTTTTATTTGAATCTTCCCATTGATGTTTAAGACTGAAATTGTTCAGTCTCTTATTGACATATATGCATACTTTGTGTATTGCCTTAATTTACAAGAATTATAAACAAAGATGGATAGTGGCTAGCAGTGGAATCCAGTTTGACGCACGTTTCGTCCTATTTGGGACTCGTCAGCTGGATGTACGTGCATCTCAGAGTTGATGTTCACTCCGCGACTACTCGAACCCAGTACCGTCCGCTTCAAACGCCATTGCATTATCCACTTAGCTACTGAGTCCTGATAGCCACTTGCTTGTGCAATGGGGTGAAGTTGAATTCACTTGATATTGTTTTACTTGAATCTTTCCATTGATGTTTAAGACTGCAATTGATCAGTCTCTCTCTTATTGGCATATGTGCAAACTGTGCGTATTGCCTCGATATTGCCTTAATTTACAAGTATTATAAGCAAAGATGGATAGTGACTTAGCAGTGGAAACGCGCATTCTGGATTCCATTGCTAGCCACTATCCATCTTTGCTTTATAATACTTCTGTTATTGTTTATAAATAATAACTAGAATTGATTAGAATAAAATAATCATTTTGTTAATTAACAGTACATTTATAACTAATTAAATAATCAATAATCATTGAAAAATATCAGCGAGAATCTTTCTATATATGCTAATTAGTTTTGATAAGATTGAAGATTGAAAATTTGTTCTTGTTTTTTCACTCCGATTCAATTCACATATTATAATACAAACAAATTAACTTTAATTTTAATTGTTAAGTAATTAAATATATAGCAACATGTTTCAACATACACAAAGTGAAAAGCAAGATTAGATGGTGGTTGAAGGTAGTCGACAGGAAATCCTGGATCTGGTGTTTCGTGCTATTTGGCAACTCGTCAGCAAGGTGTACCTGTAATCTTTGAGGGAACTGGTCGATTCGATCCTGTGTTTTACCCAGCTTCACAGTCAGAGACGTTACCACTGAGCTATCCGGGACGCGGCCGATTTCCTGTAGGACTGAGATGTAATCACCATTGATTGATCACTGGGTGGTGATCAATGTCATATGTGTCTAGTCCTTAATAATGCAGATTACAGATACACCTTGTTGACGAGTACCAAGTAGCACGAAATCCGGGTCCAGGATTTCCTGTCGACTACTTCCAACCATCATCTAATCTTACAATAGTGCCCGCGGTGTCGAGTCACCTAGACTGGTGGCCACATTGCAGCATGATCGATAGCATTCGATCTGCACTAATAATAAGGACTAGACACGCATGACATTGATCACTCAATGATCAATCAATTGTGAATAGCAACATTCTCCGATACAACACATCATGCAATAATCGAATCACACTTGACAAGGAAGCTTTAGAAGATGTAAAAACCTTTACATATTTGGACATCATCATTGATGAACACGGTGGATCTGATGCAGATGTGAAGGTGCGGATTAGAAAAGCAAGAGCAGCATATCTACAAATGAAGAACATTTGGAACTCAAAACAATTAGCAACCAACACCAAAGTTACAATTTTCAATAGAAATGTTAAGACAGTTCTACTTTATGGGGCAGAGACTTGAAGAACTACGAAAGCCAATATCCAGAAGATACAAGTGTTTATTAACAGTTGTCTTCGCAAAATACTTTAGACCCGTTAACCAGATACCGGCACCAATCTATATATATATATATATATATATATATATATATATATATATATATATATATATATATATATATATATATATATTTCTATCGATAATTCTTATGAGAACAATTGAGTTGTGATGGGGATAATAGACATAGAAACCTGATAAATATAAACAAAAAAAAATCGATATATTTTTTTCTCTACACATATCAATAATGATATTTTTCACATGGAATTACTTAATCATAAACAGTAATAACGATAAAAGAAGAAAAAAAATAAAAGAAAAAAAAAGATTTTTTAAAAAAATAGTCAATCCAACAACAACAACAACAGCAGCATTAACAACAACAAAAATAATTATGATAACTAAATAAAAATAACAATAAAATCGATTAAGAAGAAATAAACGAACATTTTTTTTCGCCCTACCAACTTGAATCTATTGTATCTGGGTGGGTTTTTTTTCTTTCGTTGTTGTTATTGATCATTTGATTGTTTTCTTTTTTTTCTTTCTTTTTTATTGTTTTTAATCAATGATCTGTTTATTCAATTTTATGTTAACATTTCCCTATTTCGATGAATATATATCCATTATAAATGAATAAATGAAAATAATGCTTTTAATAATAAATATAACAATAATAAAATTTCTCAAATGGAATGATTAAAGAAAATTGATGAATAAAATTTAAGGGTGGGGTAGAGATGGGTGGGGGGTGTGAAGTGGTTGACTTTATAAAAATACAATGGTATAATGAACTATACATTTAAAAAAATAATAATAAATCAATCAATGGGAAACGATTGCTCAAGATAAGATTGGATAAAGAGTATTGATAGTCAGCCTACATTTCTCCTGCTCATCCTTCTCCTCCTCCTCCTCGTCGTCGTCGTCTACGAGGAGTAATAACAGGCATAAGTAAGTAATGTTTTTAAATGAATTAGAATCTTTTAACAAAGATAATATATCATTTACAAGAAGTAATAAATACTGTAAAGCATTATAGGTTTATATACATTAAAGGATTATATTAAAGAAATTCTTAAGTAGTTTAGAGAATTTGAACCAAAAAAAAAAATAATAATAATAATATACATCAAATGAACTTGTAATTTATAAAATCATATAATGATTTGATAAATTCGGTAATAGATTTGTTTGTAATGTTAATGAATTTATATTATTTGATAAGATATTCATATTCATAGGAAATGTTTCAACATATTCATCATCATCATCATTATCCTTACTATCATTGTTATCTTCGTTCATATTTTTAGTATTATCATTTATACTACTAATATTATAATTAGTAGTATAATTAGTAGTCGTTAAATTTTGCTTTGTGATTTTTTTCATATTCAATTGTTTTTTAAACCAATTTATTTTTAAATGATTTAATACTATTGATAATCGTTGTTTATTTAATAATAAATTAGATCCAGTAGTTGCTGCACGTGGTCTATTCATTGGATTTATATTATTTGAATTATTTATTGGTAATAATTCATGAATACTACTTAAATCTCTATTTAATTTTAAATTGGATATTATATTCTGTGATGTTTGATCATCAATTGTACTTAAAGGACGTGGATAATATTCTTTCCATTGTTGTGTTTGATATCGAAATCGATGATTTTGTGTTATAGTTGATTGTTGTTGAAGATGATGATGATGATGAGGAGGAGGAGGAGGAGGAGGATAATGTACACGTGAATGATAGAAATATGATCTACGCATATGACTAACATCACTTGATGTTCTTGGTCTAACATTTGTACTACTAGTAGTACTACTATTATTACTACTACCACTACCACCACCGCCACTATGAATACTATTACCACAATTAAAAAATATAGATGAACCACTAGAAGTGGTTATCATCATAGGTGATAAACTACTACTTATACTATTACAAGTAGTATTTGTACCATTACTATTATGAAACAAACTATTATGTGATCTAGTTGATGTTGATTGACTTTGATTAGAATAATGTAATGAATTTAATGAAGATAATTGATCTTGTTTATCAATAACATATGAAGATGATAATGATGATGGTGATGGTGATATAGAATATGAATCATGTTGTTTTTCAAAGAATAATTGTGCAAATAGTTCATTATTATCACGATGACCAATAATATTATTATTCAATATGAATGAAGATGATAATGATGATTGTTGTTGTGGTGATGGTGATTGTTGAATAGTTGGATATAAGAATTTTTTAAATGATACTATATCATTACAGAATTGAGATGATGTATAGATTAAATCTAATGGTGAACATGTAGAAAATGCTTTTATTCGATTATGTAATATAGATTGATTTCTAAGTATAACTGAATTCTGATTCTCTTCTTTTATATTATTGTTATCACCTAGAAAATGTTTTAAAAAGAAAAGATTAATTCATCCATCCATTCATTCATTCATTGTAAATATATTTATAAAGAGATTTAGTAAGGATTAACTTTAGGTAGTTGGTAATGACTTACTTACGCCTGTTATTTTCAATAGACCATAGGTTGCCGACCAGAATTCTCCAAACCACTTTGTCTTGGGCCTTCCCTTCTACTTCTATTTGATTGTTTGTCACCATTTCTCGGCGTATTGTGTTCTTTGATATTCCTATACTCTTTTGGCCTTGAAGATTCCAAGTAAGGGTTTGCCTTGTGATTTAGTTGGGTGCTTTCTTCAATGTGTGTCTTATCCACTTCCAAAGTTTCTTCATGATTTCTTCCTCTGCTAGGATCTGGTTTGTTCTCTCCTATAGTAGCTTGTTGCTAATAGCGTCTAGCCAATGGATCTGAAGTATTTTGCGTAGACAACTGTAAATAAACACTTGTCTATTCTCGATGATGGCTTTCGTATTTCTCCAAGTTTGTGCCCCATAAAGTAGAACTGTCATGACATTTATATTGAAGATTCTCACTTAGATATTGGTTGACAGTTGTTTTAAGTTTCATATGTGCATCAATTGTAGGGATGCTGTCCTTGCTTTGCCAATCCTCGCCCTTGCGTCTGGATAGACCATTCTCATTTATATAATATAAGTTTGTCGGCCAAGGTAGAGCTGGAGGTTTATCATTGATATTGTGGATGGCTCGGCATTACTTTAGCAAGTTTTGCTGAATGTTTATGCGCGACATTGGTTTGCTGGTTAATCGATTTCATTCATACTGGTGTTTGCTTTCCAGTGTTTTTAAGGGCCATTGTCATTGGGACATTGTAAGGCGTATTACGATTGCTAATATTAATGACTTTGACTATCATTTAAGTGGGATAGGTCATCTTTGGCCTGTTCGTGCTGCGGATAATTGATTCACGCGATCATTCATTGGAATAATTATACATGTGATGCGAATGTGTGTATGAATGGTGTGAATGGTCCACCAGGGTGCTTGGTACCTGTGTGGTTGCGCCACAGGATTGAGGTGTACTAAAGATAGTCAATAGGAGACGCTAACCAAACTAGGTTTATTGGTGATTGATGCTCGTCAGCATATTTGTTATAACTTGTGGCTTGTGTCCTGTTCATCTATAACGCAATGATACCGCCAATTAGAGAAAGTGATTTATCGACCGAACCAATGAAGCGTAAACCTATACGAGCCGTCTCGAGTCTTTACCAGTCCTTCTTTCTGCCTATCTCTGCCTGTTAAGTCCAGAACATCAATCTCAGACTCCGCGATATGAATCATGTATTTTAAACATACTGGATTTATATACGATCCAAACAGACCATATCACATCAGAAAATAGGAAATAACATATATACAAGATCAGGTCAAAAGTGACTGTGAATATGGGAGACTGTAATGTGAATAGACTGGGCATTACTCAAAAACATTAAATCGTATAATAATAGTCTAAATAAAGCTTATAATAAGAGGAACATGAATATCCATCGTTTAGTTACTTAACAATCACACATTAAGAATATATGTATCGTATTAGTCCAGAAATAGATCCAAACAATTACCATCATTGATAACCCCCAGATGCCCTGGTACGGCCGAGAGTGCGGAGAGTCCGCTCTCCCTCTCGAAATGCTCTCACATGGCCACGCGTATATAGCCTCTTCCAGGGAAGTCCTACTCACTACATTCTTGTGGCATAACTGTTGTTTACGAAAATGAGAGGACGAAAAGCGAATATCCGGTACTTTAGCCGGATCCCAAACCAATGGTGTACATGGGCTAGCTCCAGAATCCTGAAGGAACAAATGGCGTATGAACCAATCGTTGGTCACCGGCTGGCTACCATGGAACTGCATCTCATTACGATGCTCCACCACCTTGTAGATCAGATCTTCAGGTCGATAGCTCAGGGTGTGGCCCCCTGAGAAAACCACCTGCTTCGGTTTTGGCACCCGTGCAGTATCACAGCCCTCACACATATCGAATGAGATCTGAGTGGCGCATATGTATTTGGTGCCTTCTTGTACCGATATCTATGTGTTAAAATAAATAAAATAAATAACATCATTGATTATTCTTATCGGGCATACAACAATATTGTAACCGTACTCTAATGGAAACGAATACTGTTTGTTTTATTGTTAAGTGTAATACAATTTAAGCTATTGTACTTGATTATTTCAATGATAATGATTTGAAAAGATATAGGACTTATCAATGGTAAATAAACACGATTCTTTAATTCTTTTTATGGTTCTTCAATCTAATTCGATGTGAATATATCAAAAAAGAGATAGAAAAGCAATTAGGTGGTTTGTATTTTTATGTCTGTATATAGTCTTTCACTAGACCTACCTATATCAGTCTATACTCTTATATTCCCTCTAACACTACAGGATTTGAATCGTCAGTTATATCTCTATGCTAATGTGGTATGACAACTTGAACTGATGTACGTACGTACGAAGTACTACGTTGTTACCAACTGACTGACTGACTAAGACCTATCTCTGTCTTGAATAAAATAGGTTATTTGCTAAAACATTTAGGATTTATATAGAATAGATGAAATGTGATTAATAGTAGAATCTAAGATTTGTGTTTTGTCTCATTCATGACTCGTCACTTTGGTGTGTCTGCATTTTAGAATTTATGTTTATTGTATATCTTGAATCCATTCGTGATTGAGATCTTTCATATTTCTATATCGTTTTAATTTTTATTTGATGTAATATTAGGTGATGATTCAGTGGTTAAAGCGTTCTACTCCCCCTCCCCTTACACTTAAGTCACAGATATAAACTCCACTTTATCCACTTCTATTAGAGTAACTGAGCCTTGGTATTAGTAACCATCTTACAGTTAAAGTTCGTCACAAAGTCAAACACATGGATCCGGTACTCTGGAAATGAGATAATAATAATAATAATAAATGACTGACACCAACTTACATAAATTCATTTCCAAATAATGAGATGTAGGATTATTATTAATTTCTCTGAAAAGAAAATGAAATCAGTGTTTAACATTGTTGTGAATTATATGATTATGTAAAATTTCCCCATAGAAACCAAACAATTAAAATATATCACAGAATGGGTTTTATGGATGTTATAGTAATTTTAATGGTTAAGATCACGAGTCATTTGAAGCTAGATCACTATGGAAAACCTGGAACCACTGGATAGCCATTTCGTCCTACTGTGGGACTCCTCAGCAGTGCGCATCCATGATCACGCCTCGAGAGATTCACGGGTGAACGCTAAACCTCTAGACCACTGAGCCAATCGACATTCAACGGCGTTAATGTCTAACATCAACCAATCCACGAAATTGCGCGACCATCTTCCATTGTACTGAGGTAGATACCTGTCTCTACCTGACACACATTAGCTCCACTGGTCACTGCTACTCACTAGAACTTCAGGAGATGCCTCTTGAAGCTGGTCACTAGTGAGCATATGTTGATTAGTATCAGAATGGGTTTTGTGGATATTACGGTAATTTTCGTGGTTAAGATCATGAGTCGTTCACTATAAAAGTAGTAAGCATATTGAATACCCTATCATAAGCCCATTCGCTTTAACTCATATACGTAGTAATGTCAGAAAACTTCTACTGACATTTAGATATCTTAATTTTGTCTATAACTCCGCCTGGAGTCCCTCCGGGGGCTACTGCTAGTTCCAAGCCCGGATAAAGGAGAAGGATTGGGCATGGGGTTAGCGACCCCATCCCGTAGAAAATTAACTCGCTAAAAAAACACTAACCAGAAAAAATTATTCAATTTTGTTTATAATATATCTTGACAACAAATCATGAAAAGTTAACCATTTTCTGCTTATCGACTACATAAATCTGAATAATTGAGCTATCATTTAAGGATTCAATTACTCAACACTAAATCATATATTTTTGTCTAGGCAGCTTAATAGTAGCATATGACTTGAAACTTCATATATGGTTCAAAGCTAAGTATCTAATAAAGGGTTAATATTGTCGAATTACATAATACAAGTTATAACACTGAAATTAATTGTTTAAACTTGACTAAAAGAATGTTCTAAGAATATAACTAAACTAAATAAACAAATGTCTACGTAAAATACTTCGGTTCCGTTGGCCAGACACTACCAACAACAACCTATTGTGAGCGAGAACAAACCAAATTCCACTGAAGGAGGAAATCAGGAAGAAGCGCTGGAAGTGGATGGTACACACATTGAGGAAAACACCGAACTGCGTCACCAATGCAAGCCCCCAGTTGGAATCCTCAAGGCCAAGGGAGAAGAGGAAGACTAAAGAACACATTAGGTCAAGAAATGGAGATAGATATGAGAAGAATGAACAACAATTGGGTAGAACTAGAAAAGAAGGCTAAAGACAGAGTGGATTGGAGAATGGTGGTCAGCGGCCTATGCTCCATTAGGAGTAATAGGCATAAGTAAGTAAGTAAATTAAGATAGTCTCTTTCCGTTCTTGAAATGACCAGTTTATGTATTTCAGTACAGTCAAATTTTAACGATCAGGTTGTGTATTTAGATCTTCTTTAACTGCTAAGTAATAACACAATGCTTTGTGTATAAATAACGAATATTGTAATCAACTATTGAAGGAAATTTGATAGATACATTCCAAGTGAAGACCGATGCCTGACAAGGCTGCTCACTCTCACCCTTTCTCTTTCTTGTGATGGTTAACTAAATTATGAAGATCTCCATATCTGAGGGGAAGAACGGAATACAATGGACAGCCCGGAATCAACTAGACGATTTATACTTCGTAGATAACCGAGTCCTTCTACCCTGTACACACCAACAAATGCAGTTAATAACAAACAGTGTAGCAGCAGTCTCAGTATGCACAAAGGAAAAACCAAGAACCTCAAATACAACACGGAAAACACCAACACAATCACACTTCATAGAGGAGCTCTAGAAGAGGTGGAAACAATTTTACGTAACTGGTCAACATCATCGATGAACAAAGAGGATCTGTTGAAGACTTAAAGGCGAGGATTGGCAAAGCAAAGACAACATTCCTACAGTTGAGGAACATATGAAACTCAAAACAACTTTCAACCAACACCAAAGTCATAATCTTCAATATGAACGTCAAGACAGTTCTACTGTACGGAGCTGAGACTTGTAGAACTACAACAACTATCATCAAAAAGGTAAAGGTATTTATAAACAATTGTCTACACAAGATACTATTCAATGTTAGTTGGCCGGATACCATCATCAAGAGCCTACTATCGGAGAGAACAAACCAAATTCCATTTGAAGAAGAAATCACGAAAAAACGTTGGAACTGGATAGAACATACATTGAGGAAATCATCAAACTGCATTACAAGACTTAGTTAATATATGCATTTGGATTATCGTAAACATTACCATTAACATACATATTATTAAAGAAGAAAGATTGGTTCAATGAAGTGTTCTCTTTTCGAATAATTCGTTTTCGAACCTGTACAATCGCATATATATATATATATATATATATATATATATATATATATATATATATATATATATATATACTTATTTTTAAGGATGATGATCATTACAATAAATAACACTATCGTCTCATAATCTTTTCTTCTTCTTCATACTTTTCTTCCTTTACAGCAATCTGCCGGCAAATGCCCTGGTACGGTCGAGAGTGGGGAAAGTACGCTCTCCCTCTCCAAATGCTCTCACATGGCCACGCATATATAGCCTCTGTCAGGGAAGTCCTACTCACTGCCTTCTCGTGGCATAACTGTTGTTTACGAAAATGAGAAGACGAAAAGCGAATATCCCGCGCTTTAACCGGATCCAGTATCCTAAAGGAACAAATGGTGTATGAACCAATCGTTGGTCACCGGCTGGCTACCATGGAACTGCATCTCCTTACGATGCTCCACCACCTTGTAGATCAGATCTTCAGGTCGAAGGCTCGGTGTGTGGCTCCCTAAGAAAACCACGTGGTTCGGTTTGGACACCCGGGCAGCATCACAGCCCTCACACATATCAATTGAGATCTGTGTGGCGCATATATATTTGGTGCCTCCCTGGAACAATATCTATGTGTTAAAATAAATAAAAAATAAATTACAGCAATCTGCTTCCCCTTTTATGTTCTCTACAAAGTCCCAACTGGTTTATTTCTGTTTCTATAATCTTTCTGATCACATTTCATTATAATTTAAACATTTTATTTTATCATAACCAAGCTATCTTTTCCCAATAATAATTTCCCTATCTATCTTTATGATAAATATTTAAACGCTTAACAATAATTCATTTTTGTATTAGTTGTTTGAATTTTTCCATTGATACTTTAAGACTACAATTGATCAGTCTCTTATTAGCATATATACATTCTGTGTGGATTGCTTCGATTAACAGTGGTAACCAGGACGTAAGCTTCGTCCTCTGTAGAACTCATCAGCTGTTTGTACCTGTATCCCAGAGTTGATGTTCACTCGATGACTCGAATCTAATACCGTTCACTTCAAATACCATCGCATTATCCACTGTAATTGATCAGTCTCTTATTGGCATATGTACATCCTATACGAATCACTTCCACGTTACCTTGAGTATATATATATATATATATATATATATATATATATATATATATATATATATATATATATATATATATCAGGATGACGCTTGGAAAGTCCTCCTGTTGCTTCAAAAACTGGGTCCTAGTGAACTAGATTGATATTGTAATTTAATTCTGCCTCTAAAACCCACGTGACCGTTCATTTTCGAACACCATTCTGTCATTAAATCTGACAGTTCGTAGATAACTTACATGTTATCAATATTTGAAGTTGACTATGAACGAAAACGCTGATTTCCTCACGTATATAGTTATCATCAATTGCAAATGCGAATAGTTCCAGGTTGATATCATCATTCAAAAGAATGATAAAATCAATTCACGATGAAACTATCCCATTCATTCATTCATTTTAATTCATTTGTGATACTGCCCGGGTGCCCAAACCGAAGCAGGTGGTTTTCTTAGGGGGTCACACCCCGAGCCTTCGATTTGAACGTCTGACCCACAAGGTAGTGGAGCATCGTGAGGGTCAGACGTTCAGGTCGAAGGCTCGGGATGTGGCCCCCTAAGAAAACCACCTGCTTCAGTTTGGGCAAAGAATAAAACTTTATCATCATCATCATTATCATCATCATCAAAAATCAAATTATTCACTTACTTTATTAAAGTATCATTATAATCATTTTGTATTGATTTTATTTCTTTTGAATATTGTCTAGATTGTTGATCCAAGAAATAATTATCTTTTATAGTATTTAATAATAAAGGACATGATTGATGTAATAAATTTTTTTTGTATTTTATTGTATTACATTCATTATAATCAATATTATTCTTGTTGTTGTTGTTGTTGTTGTTCATGGAATTATTCTTCTTGTCGTCCATGAAGTTATTCTTCTTATCATCCATGGAATTATTCCTATAGTCCACGAGATTATTCTTCTTGTTGTCCATCGGATCATTATTATTATTATTATTATTATTATTATTATTATTATTATTATTATTGTATATGATGGATATAGATTTGGAACGAGTTAAACGTTTAATCGGTTGTAAATTTACATTAGATAATAATGGATTATTTTGAGATAATGAAACTGGTCTTGGCAATGGAGGTAAACTAAACAAAATTATTTGAGAGACAGATAGATAGAGAAAGAGAGAGGTAAAATATAAACGAAAAACTGGAAATTTTTATAGATATATCACAAGATCACATTAATTAAATAGCCATTGAAAACAAAGAGTTAACATCTATATCATCCTTGTATGAGGTTTTTCATCAGTTCTCATAAACGACAGTCAATCAGTCAGTCAGTTACAACGTAGGACTAGACACATATATGCAACGGTTCAAGTTGCCACAACTCATTAGCAAAATAAGATGAACACTGGATTCATAGAAGTAGTTAATACAATAGTGATAGTATAAAAAAGATTGTGTATAAAGATATAATACAGAAAGAAAGAATACGTTCGTAGAAAGATATGAAGCGATTTTAATCTCTTAGTTTAAAGGAAGACAAAGAGTGTATACACCGGCGACATTGTGATCGATTCTGAGCCTTGTCACCCAGTCTCCAACCATTGCTTACGATAGTCACGCGGACCTTAACCAAGTAGTCTGCATCTACCAACATGGATAAGACTAGAAGTTAGTGACTTCACAAAAATTGTTTTGGTTTGGCTGCCTTTAACTTTCTTCCAACCATCTCCAACACTAGTCAGCATCGCGCGACGTGGTAATCGGTGTTCAGACATACGCAACACGTCCCACACCGTAGAAGGGTTCTTCTGGAGTTACCTGAAGAACAAATTGGATTAAAGGTGGTCTTAGTGACCTGAGAGCTTGACCGCAATGCCCAAGGGACAACTGCTTAAGGTCGGTCACAAACCACCTTCTTATGAGTAATATTCGCGTGAGCTCTGTATTTGTTGAGACGTCACCGTCGGAGACGGATATCCGTGGGATAAGGCGAGGTGTGCATTTTTTGTTCGACCTTTTCTAACCCCACCCCTCATTGTGGGAAGGCAGCATCGCTGTTATGCTGGTTGTCTTAGTGAAACAACTTACTGCCGTCACAGCTCTGTACAGTCAGCAGTACGACTTCATCTTCGGACCTCGAGTTTGCTGCTTTTAGTTTTACCGCTCTTCAATCGATCTGTCTGGCATGATAGGATCTTGAGGGACGATTGTTCCAGCCAGAATAGCTTGACTGGTTTATCACGATAGGTAAACCCGACAATGACGTCAAGGTAGCAACAACGGTTGAGTCCTCTCATAAATGACTCCAACAGAGATATAACCTAAAACCTTGGGGCCTCACTTCGAGTAGACTTAGTAGTTTACATTTCTAACTTGAATAATTTTCTCGCAATAAACAACCATATTCCAATACGAATAGTCTCACTCTCAGCATGAAAGAACTTCACTGGTCATGGGTTACTCACCTATACTTTGGGAATCGTTTGTCAAAACTAGTTACTAATAGGCACATTATTATTATCCGTATAAGAGCTTGGTGAAGATCATCGAATTTTATGATCAACATCACAGATTGACTCTTTATGATAGAATATATTTACATTAGTATTGTTAAAAACATGTTACATTAAATAATCTTTTAATAAAATGTCACCTTGTCTAATCCTTAGGTTTAATTAAGTTCTACTAATTTCCCTTCACTGTAACGAGTACGTTAAATAACATGATATTGTAATACATTTTGTTTGATTTGAGACAATCAACATGTGTCCGCACGTCCAATGTTCATAATAATGAAGTTCGTGAACAAGTCATACCTGGATGATTACGAAAAACTGATCTTCCTAGTAGAATTCCAAATTCTAACAACGAGTATTATGTTTAAAGACGTTACCTCTAAACTATCACAAGCCATGATACACCTTCTGTCGTAATAAGAGTTTCACATTAATTTATCATAAATTGAGTCAATCTTGGATGTGAATCCCACGTTCACGATCGTGGATAAGCCCTCTTGAGGAGTCCCATTCCTAGACGAAACAGTCATCCAGTGCTTCCAGGTTTTCAATGGTGGTGTAACATTGATCGATTCATAATTTCAATTATCAATCAATCCAATTGATCTAAAATGCTGTCTTTTCATCTACACAATAAATCAAGCCACTAAATTTAAAACTAGTGGTGAAAATTATTCAATTGCGAACTGTTCACAACTGATTATCATTTCAACATTTAATATCTGGATAGTAGGAATTCTTATTAGTTCAATAGCTAAAGATATTTATCGTTATTCCAAAGAATGAATTGAACTCAAACATATATAGCGTGAGATACCAGTTCAATAGTCTATAGATTAAGTGTTCATCAGAGCGATTGAAGGTATTGGGTTCGATATCATATAATAAAATTATGAATGATCACTGTTGAAAGTTGCAATATTAGGACAAAACAGTCATCTAGTGCTTCCAGGTTTTCAATACTAGTATAACTAATATCTCCTTAGCGTTTTTTTCTTTATGAGTTAGTTTTCTATGGGATGAGGTCGCTAATCTCATAACCAATCCTCCTCCTTTGTCCGGGCTTTGGAACGACAGTAGCCCTAGGGGAACTGCAGTAGAGTAACATACATAAGTAAGTAAGAAAAAAATTAGCTAATATCATTTTATGATTCCAACTAGTAAAAATCATTTTTATTGATTATAAAAGATAAATTGATTTATTGAGAAATAATCACTAAATAAACTTATTGATCTATCATACAATGACCTTATATCATATAAAACAAAGAACTTTAAGATTTCCTAATGAATAAAATCTCAGAAAGGTTTTCTGTGGATATTATAGTAATTTCTGATTGAGATCATGAACCGATTGATGTTAGACCACCATTGAAAACCTGGAAGCACTGGACGGCCGTCTCGTCTTATTGTGGGACTCCTCAGCAAAGCGCATCCACGATCCCGCTTGCGGGATTCAAACCCAAGGCCTTCGGTCTCTTGCGCGAACGCTTAACCTACTCGACCACTGAGCCGGTCAGCATTCAATGGTGTTAATGTCTAACCTCAACCAATCCACGAAATTGCGTGACAATCTTCCATTGTACTGAGGTAGACACCTGTTTCTACCCGACACGGATTAGCTCCACTGGTCACGACTTCTCACCAGAACTCCGAGAATTTTTTCATGAAGCTAGTCACAAGTGAGCTTTAACTAGATTAGTGGACACAGAGAGTCCACATAGGGGAGTTGGAAAACCTTGGTTCCAAGCCAATGGTGCACATGGGCTGTCTCCAGTATCCTAAGGGAACAAATGGCTTACGAGGCGTTTGCAAGCGAGATCTAGTGCTCCAGGTCCGAGTCAATGGTTGAAATTATGAGTTAATTGAAGCTGAGGAGTCCTATACTAGGACAAAACGGCCATCAAATGCTTCCAGGTTTTCCATGGTGGTCTTAGCTTCAATTGACTCATGATCTAAACCATTAGAATAAAATATCGTTTTAAAACTAAAGTAAAAACTACTTGTTTAAAATCTCTTCACTCTTTTTTCAATAATCAATGAGTGTTGGTTTCCATTACTTTAAATTCTAAAGTCATAATTTTTTAATAGTTGAATTCATAAGTTGATGTAAGCTAGATCACCATTAAAAACCTGGAAGCACTGGATATCGGCCACCAACTAAGTGTAATAGAAGTTACTATGTTGTCCTCATATACCAAATACATTATTTCCCATTTAATTGCTCTTCATAACTACCAAACTGCCTATCAAGGTAAAAGTAAATCAAAAAGTTTGTAACTTCTGTAGCACTGTTTATTCGTCACGATAGATGGTCAAGCAGCATCGTGGATTAGTTGAAGTTAGATATTAACACCGTTGAATGCAGGCTCAGTGATTTAGAGGTGATGCGTTCGCAAGCGAGACCTAGTGCCCCAGGTTCGAGTCCCGCATACGGGGTCATAGATGCATGCAAGTTGATATTCAGTAAATCGATAGACTTCAATTCAGTTTATTTCAATACTAATTCCAAATGCCCTGGTACGGCCGAGAATAGTGAGAGTCAGCTCTCTCTCTCTCGCCAAATGCTCTCGTATGGCTACGCGTACACAACCACAGCATAGGAAGTCCTAATCAATGCCTTCTCGCACCACGGGTGTTGTTTACGAAATTGAGAAGAGGAAAAGCAAATGTCCGGCACTTTAACCGGATCCCAAACCAATGGTGCACATGGGCTAGCTCCAGTATCCTGAAGAAACAAATGGCGTATGGACCAATCGTTGGTTACCGGCTGGCTACCATGGAACTGCATCTCCTTACGATGCTCCACTGCCTTGTGGATCAGATCTTCAGGTCGAAGGCTCGGGGTGTGGCCCCCTGAGAAAACCACGTGGTTTGGTTTGGGCACCCGTGTTGTATCACAGCCCTCACACAAATCAATTGAGATTCGTATGGTGCATATGTATTTGGTACCTACTTGGACCAATATCTATGTGTTAAAATAAATTAAATAAATAAATAAATATATTTTTTATACTTACTTATTTTGACTGTAACCAAATCGATTCCATCCAGAATTTGAAGATGAAGATGATGAAGACAATGATAATGATGGTGTATTTACACTAGCCTGATGCATAAGTCTATTAGAAAACAACAAAATACATAATCAACATGCATAGAGGTTAAAATAAGGATTAATCATTACTGTGAATATATGATGAAGGTGATTATGTTGGATATACGTTTTTGTATTTACCTAAACAATAATATATTTATTGTTCATGTTAGATTATCACTTGAGAAGATGGAAAGGGAAAAGTAGCTAAGCTAATTAGAAATATATCTGATTTACTTTGTATAGTATATGTAAAGTTTCAATATAATTGAATGATGTGTACTACTGATAAACTGAAAGAAGAATTGATGAAGGTTGAAAACTGTCTAAGAGAGAGGCTGAGCTCAATGCATAGTTTAAACATTAAAAAACTGAGCCACGGTCAAACCAAACTGATAAATCCGAAATAGGATGAAACGCGTTTCCTAGATTCGAACACAGGATCTATCAGTCTCGCGCGCGAACACTTAACCTATAGACCACTGAGCCGACCGGCATCCAACGGTGTTAATGTGTAACTTCAACCAATCTACGAAATTATGCCACCGTCCACCATTGCCTTCAGTGAGTTACTATCTCACAACAGATCCGGTCGAGCTCACGACTTCTCACTAGAACTCCACGAAATAACTCTTGGAGACAGTCACTGATCTTGCGTTCGTGAATGCACATTGCTCAAGAGCCCCATACTAGGGTGAAACGGTCGTCCAGTGCTTCCACGTTAGCTGAAAAAGAATTAAAACTAAGGCCAGATGCTGGCAAAAAGGACCTTACAGTTGTAAATTTTCGGCTAGTCCCTGTCTAAAAAAGAGGCAGTGAGCTATTAGAAAATGTTCGAAGAGCCTTATTAAGCTGATTTTCGGAATAGCGAATCTCTCATGTGATAATCGACTGACCAAACGAAACCTATTGCATTGTTATATAAAAGAATCAGTGACGAAAAGTTCACAGTTTTTAAATTATTTAGTGACAAATTTGCATCTGATATGCCTTCATTCCTCTTGTCTTCCAAAGCGGAGAATTTACGAGAACACTCTAAAAAGATTCATAATTCCAAAACAAATGACTTGTCTGCTGACTATTGATTTTCCCTTCAAATCATCAACGAATTAAATTCATTATCTCAACACATCATTGAAGCTCTATATATTGACGCTTTCAAAAGAGACTTGAATCAACTGGTATTATTATTATTTTAACACATACATATTGGTACAAGAAGGCACCAAATACATATGCACCACACAGATCTCATTGGATATGTGTGAGGGCTGTGATACAACACGGGTGCCCAAACCGAACCACGTGGTTTTCTTAGGGGGCCACACACCGAGCCTTCGACCTGAACATCTGATCCACAAGGCAGTGGAGCATCGTAAGGAGATGCAGTTCCATGGTAGCCAGCCGGTGACCAACGATTGATTCATAAGCCATTTGTTACCTCAGGATACTGGAGCTAGCCCATGTGCACCATTGGTTTGGGATCCGGTTAAAGTGCCGGACATTCGCTTTTCGTCCTCTCATTTTCGTAAACAACATTTATGCCACAAGAATGTAGTGAGTAGGACTTCCCTGACAGAGGCTATATACACGTGGCCATGTGAGAGCATTTGGAGAGGGAGAGCGTACTCTCCCCACTCTCGACCGTAGCAGGGCATTTGAGGGCGAATCAACTGAAAGATCAATATTGTCAGGATTATCATAAGTTACTCAGTTTCTTATCCTTTTCTGACTGAAACTTAAACTGAAACTACACATTCATTTGTTAAGATATTTATGTAAAAAAAAAAGAAAATCAAGGGTAAAATTAGAAAATTGTAAAGAGTAGAATAAAAAGAGAACAAAGATAATCATGGGAGAAGAAACATTAACTCATCACTCTAGGGTACTCTATATCTATAAATGTCTATATGTCTGTTCTTATGTTGTACATTTTTAGTGATCTATTGATTCATATAAGGGATAACTAAACATTTATGATCATACAACTCTATAACTGTAAATTAAGCGACATTTACAAATGATTATCAAACACTTTGAAAGAGTTACGTAAGAGATGAAACAATGGACCTATGCTAACATTCATTCCTTGGTATATGATGTATCTCATGGTAACTATACATATATATATATAGTGATTAATAACCATCCATACACACAGTCAATGTGAACATATACACATACATACATACACACATACATACATACACACATACATACATACACACATACATACATACATACACACATACATACATACATACATACACACATACACACATACATACATACACACATACATACATACATACATACATACATACATACATACATACATACATACATACATACATACATACATACATACATACATACATACATACATACATACATACATACATACATACATACATACATACATACACAAGAATAGACGAAATATAGTCTAGGAAAACACTATAATGTAAACAGTGAAGGGAAAAATATTTATGTCTATCTTCATTTAGGATTTTTATTTTATTTGTTTTCTGGTTTTTAGACAACAACAATAACAACAACAGCAAAGAATAGGAATGTAAAACATTGTAACAGTATAAAATAGACAAAATAATTTTCAGTGGGAGAAAACTAGGTTATATTGTCTGAAAATATTGTTGTCGGTAATTATTAATGTTGTTAACACTAATAAAATGAAATGAAGGATAACTAGTATGATGATTCGATTTGTATTCATTAGGGTATTAATCAACAATTAGAGAATGGTATATAATACTGATTCGAGTTTATACGATCAAGCACCGATTGATCTGATGTGTGATGTTTGATAATATATGAGTAGGTTAGAAGAAAGCTAGAGGTAGTCAGATCAAAATACTCGAGCTATCAACGTTTAAGGCAATTTTGGAGAATTTTTGTTACATTTTAGGGAAATCCCCAAAGCCAAATGACCTTGACTAAGGTTAAAGAGGAATTTTGAAGAAATATTGGGGAATTTCCCCAGGTCTGGGGAAATTTTAGGGTTTTGTGCCATTTTCCTAAAGTTTACTATAGCGGCTTCCCTAAAATTGGAAGTTCGGGTATGGCACAAATCCATGAAGTCAGTGACAAGTGGACTGAAACAAGTTGGTAGGTCTACACCTACTACTTGGTTGGGATCCGCCAGATGATAGCAACCAAGGATTGGAGACCTTGAAAGTGATATGGCTCAAAATCGTTTTCAATGGCGCAGGTGCATCCACTCTTTATGTTCTCCCAAATTCTAATCTAATGAACTTTTCATGTCCCCTATTTTCTTCTCTTTCCAAATTTATTTCACACTGGATTATACTCCTTGGATAACATCTTCAAACACTAATCTTTCCGACTACTGCTTATACTTTTACTACCTGTACCATTATGGGATTTGAATCGACAATTGTATCTTTGTGCTAATATGGTATGGTAACTTGAACTGATGTACGTACGTACGAAGTTCTACGTTGTTGTTGCTGACTGACTGACTGACTGACTCATACGACTGAGTTTTAGCTACGTTACTCATTAAAAAAAAATAAGTAGTATGAGGAGTTATTACGTGAAGATGATTGAATTTTGTGGTTTATATTATGAATCGATTGTAGTTAAGGAACTGTTGGAACACCATAGTTTCATGGAGCCCAGATATAATCAGGGATAAAACTCTAGGCCTTTAGACTTCGAGTCTAGAGCTGGACATTCAGACCACTGTGTTCGAAAATGTAAAGCACTGAACATCAAGTTATTAGTTTGAAGGTTAAGCGTCGATCACGAGGCCTAAAAGTTAAAAAGCTTAAAGTGAATCGAAAACACTAAAACATTTCTTTAGTTTAGGAATACAATAATTAACACATATAACGGATGACATATCAGACAAACACTTTCTATCTAAGTTGTACAAGTCTCACTTTTTCCGACTAAATTAAGAATTCCATTTTCAGAAGGGGTTTCCTGGAGATTTTAGTCATTTCAATAGTTGAAATCATGAGTCGATTAAAGCTAGACCATCATGAAAAATCTGGAAACACTGGACGGCCGTTTCGCTCTAGTATGAGACTCCTCAGCAGTGGGCATCCACGATCTCTGCATCCGCAAGATTCGAACCCAGGATCTACCAGTCTTGTGCGTGAGCGCTTAATCATTAGACCACTGAGCCGGCATCCAACGGTTTTAATGTCTAACTTCAACCAACCCACGACTGGTAGGGACTGGATTGGAATCTCGCTGTGCGGGATCGTGGATGTGCACCGCTCAGAAATACCATACTAGTACGAAACGGTCAGCCAGTCCTTCTAGGTTTTCCATAGTGGTCTAGCTTCAGTTGACTCATGATTTCAACCATTGAAATTCCATTTTCTTATAGACACTTGATGTAAGGATAGGTCAAATTTAAATTGATAATTTACAATACATTAATTTGTATTTGACAGTTTACTTGAATTTGGTAAGCGTGTTTTGTAATAAAAAAAGTATATCTACGCACTATCTAGAATGCAAATCAATCATTGATTCTGTTGTTGAATATTTAGTCAATTCTGGTAATCTATTCCCACAGAAATCTTCCTTCAGAATTATTCCCAAAGTCGAACAAACTAGTTCTAAGAAGAAATTGAACAATAAATTTTGTCCATAACAGAGACATTGGGAATCACCAGTTCTAGCTTAATCGTTGGTATTCTAAGGTTATATGTCTGATCCTTTATTCGACTACATTCTTAATACCATCTTATTTTGTACGTTGTTTATAATATGTGCTTATATCTTCTTTCTGTTGAAATCAAAGATAAACTTAAGTCAAACTGTCACTGTAAAATTGGAAGCAGTGTATGGGCGTTTCATCCTAGTATGGGAATAATCACCGGCGTTCAGCCACGGCTCTTCATCCAAAAATTAATTCCAGGAGCTTTAGCCTGGGGCGTGAAACCTTAATATTTAGACCAATGGGTCTGGTTCCAGTAGTGTACAAGTTTAAGTTCAGTTAATTCCTTAACACAAAAATATTGGTACAAGGAGGCACCAAATACATATGCACCACACATCTCATTTGATATGTGTGAGGGCTGTGATACTACACGGGAGCCCAAACCGAACCACGTGGTTTCCTTAGGGGGCCACACCCCGAGCCTTCGACCTGAACGTCTGATCCACAAGTCAGTGGAGCATTGTGAGGAGATGCAGTCCCATGGTAGCCAGCCGGTAACCAACGATTGGTTCATAAGCCATTTGTTACCTCAGGATACTGGAGCTAGCCCATGTGCACCATTGGTTTGGGATCCGGTTAATGTGCCGGACATTCGCTTTTCGTCTTCTCATTTTCGTAAACAACAGTTATGCCACAAGAATGTAGTGAGTAGGACTTCGCTGGCAGAGGCTATATACGCGTGGCCATGTGAGAGCATTTGGAGAGGGAGAGCGGACTCTCCCCACTCTCAGCCGTACCAGGGCATGTGGGGACTCCAAATCAATCAGCATTGTGGAATAAGGAAACATGACATTGGTTACTACTCAGTGGTCAATCATTTACAAATATCTCAGTCCTACAAAAGTCAAACAGCCTGAATAGTACAATTATAACATATCAAACTATGAAAGTAAGTAATACAAGTTCGAATCCTACAGAAACCATTAGTCCTCTCAATATTTCAGGTAAACCTTGATAATAAATGGAAAATATCACAAAATTTGCCTCGATCAAGATTCCCTACCGACCGCTTCCCAACCTATTTAATGATAATTATTCAGAATAGTAACCAGTCTGTAAGGGCGTGGGTTCGAATCCCACCTCCACCACCAAAACGTAGTGAAATAAAACACCAGTGGGGACAATCCAATATATTAACACCCAATTACAGAACTAGTTAGTAAAATCAAACAACCATATATTGAATCGTTAATTTGCAAATTGTTCATCAATTGTCTCAAATCACTCAGAATCCCCTTGTTCATGCATTTTCATACAAATTGCCTTCTGTTTTCATTCTTTATTGTTCGATCTTTTTATCTCTCTGCCGCCAGACATTCTGTTCAGTGCTCACGTCATATACTACTTATGTCTACATAAGTAGTACACACCACAATATCATTGAACTTTTTCAACCTACTATATTTAATTTAAACATCGTACACTATTACAATAATCTCTATTTCATTTCAACACTGAAATAAACAAGATTAATAGAATTTCAGAGATATTAAAAAAAAAAGAAGAAAAAACTAATGATAATGAAGACAATAAAAATAATCAAACCTTGTAAATTGTTTATGTACATATACTGCTTCTGTATGATCAGCTAATTGAAATATAATTTCACATTCACCAATTGGTGATGCACGACCAGTATAAATACGAAATTGACCATCTCGACGTGATACACATTGACGTACAAAACGATACTGATTAAGGAAAATAATATAATAAAATGAAGCATCATTCTTTCAAAGCTAAACCAATTTGATTATGTAGCATATATTGTTCTACTGAACAAAGATCATCAGTAAAAAAAAATACTTCAAAAAGGAAGTGATTTATTTGAATTTCTTTACATATGATTGATAGTTTATCTTATCAATCTAGTTCTAGTGAGAAGTAGTGACTAGTGGAGTTCAACCAAGTCTGTTGTGAGATAGTAACTCACTGAAGACAATGGTGGATATGTCGCTCAATTTCGTGGATTAGTTGAAGTAAGACATTAACACCGTTGGATGCCGGCCGGCTCAGTGGTCCAGTGGTTAAGTGCTCGCGCGCGAAACCAGTAGGGGGGTGAGGTCGTGGATGCGCGCTGCTGAGGAGTCAGTCTCACAATAAGACGAAACGGCCGTCCAGTGCTTCCAAGTTTTCCATGATGGTCTAGCTTCAACTGACTCATGATCTTAACCATTGAAATCTTGATTATAACTGGTTAGTATTAACCTTTAACCTATAGTGGTCAATGTCAGGATAAACTGTCGGTTATATGTGAAGAAATTTAAATAAATTATTGTTACATCAAAAATTTCTGCTGATGATGTTGAACAAAAGTGAATATTCAACGATTAAACCGCCTCACGAGATTCAAACACAGGACCTATCGATCTCGTGTGCGAACGCGTAACCTCTAGAACACTGAACTGGCATCCAACGGTGTTAATGTCTAACTTCACCTAATCCACGAAATTGAGCGACACATACACCAATGTCTCGCACGCGAGACTGATAGGTCTTGGGTTCGAATCTCGTGAGGCAGGATCGTGGATGAGCACTGCTGAGGAGTCTCACAATAAGATGAAATGGATGTCCAGTGTTTTCAGGTTTTTCAAGGTGGTCTAGCTTCAATTGACTCATGATTTCAACTATTGAAATTACTAAAATCTTCACAAAACCCCTTCTGACATTATATAATTATCGAAATAATGTTTAACATTTATTTTAATTTGCAAGCAGTATTCATTGCAGATTGATCTGATTTAGGATATCATTAGAGATAATTCAACGTTGGACAATTTTTTTATCTTAGTATTGGACTCTTCAGAAGTGTGTACCAAAACCCCTATCAAGAATGAAATTTAAGATCTTCAGATCTTATGGAGAATTCTCAACCAGTAAAATCATAGTGTTGTTTTAACTCATTCTATTAGTTATAAGGTAGATTATAATATGTATGAAAAACAGTGTTTTAATCAACTGAGCTTTTAAAATCCTCACAGATTTTCTGAAAAACGTTTTTCTTATCTATCACTCTGTTAATTCACTTGATATTGTTTTATTTGAATCTTCCCATTGATGTTTAAGACTGAAATTGTTCAGTCTCTTATTGGCATATGTGCATACTGTGCGTATGCCTCGATATTGCCTTAATTTACAAGAATTATAAACAAAGATGGATAGTGACTAGCAGTGGAATCCAGTTTGACGCACGTTTCGTCCTATTTGGGACTCGTCAGATGGATGTACGTGCATCTCAGAGTTGATGTTCACTCCGCGACTACTCGAACCCAGTACCGTCCGCTTCAAACGCCATCGCGTCAAATAAAACAATATCAAGTGAATTAAACTTCACCCGATTGCACAAGCAAGTGGCTATCAGGACTCAGTAGCTAAGTGGATAACGCGATGGCGTTTGAAGCGGACGGTACTGGGTTCGAGTAGTCGCGGAGTGAACATCAACTCTGAGATGCACGTACATCCAGCTGACGAGTCCCAAATAGGACGAAACGCGCGTCAAACTGGATTCCACTGCTAGCCACTATCCATCTTTGCTTATATCACTCTGTTAGTTCTATTTATTTATTTGAACACATAAATATTGGTATAAAGGGACACCGAATACATATGCACCATACAAGTCACTTGATTTGAGTGTTGGCTGTGATACTACACGTGTGCCCAGACCAAATCACGTGGTTTTCTTAAGGAGCCACACCCAGAACATTCGAACTAAAGGTTTGATCCATAAGGCAGTGGAGCAACGTTAGGAAATGCAGTCTCATGGTAGCTGGTGACCAATAATTGGTTCATACGCCATTTATTCCCTCAGGATTCTGGAACAAGCCCATGTGTAACATTGGTTTGGAATGAGAGTTTTCCGACTCTCTTATGTGGATCCTCCCTGTCCACTAGTTCGATGAAAGCTCCGGACATTTGCTTTCCGTCCTTTGAATGTCGTAAACAACACCCTGTGTCACGAGAAGGTAGTGAGTAGGACTTCCCTTGTCAGTGTCTATATACTCGTGGCAATGTGAGAACATTTGGTGTCACACAACATCCGGAGTAGAAGTTCAAAACGCTAATGATTTAGTTACTAAGTACTTCCAAATAATAGCTAATTTTTAAGACTGTTAAACATTTTAAAATGATTATAGTCTAAATAAATGTGAAGGTTTTTTTTTATAATTTGATCACAGAAATTAAAGGGTATATTTATGATTACCCAAGGCAATATATACTAATATTGATGATAGTTTAAATACCTAAGAAAGGAACATAGATGAATTAGATTTTAGCTATTTCTAGGGTAAATGTTATTTAAGATTTATGGGGACATATATGGAGACTTATTAGTAAATTGTATTTCACTGGTATGGAAATATATTCTCTTCTCTATCGATTAGTCAAGTTTTTAAAATATGTTAGTTTATGATAGAAATTTGTTTGTAAAATTTAAAACTTTTTTTCTTGGTGATAATTCATTTATCAATTTAGGTGTTGTGGAGATTGTCAAGACTGAATGCCCTGGGTTCGAATCCCGCGAGCAGGATCGTGAATGCGCCCTGCTGAGGAGTTCCACAATGGGACGAAATGGCCGTCCAATGTTTCCAGGTTTTTAATGGTGGTCTAACATCAAACGGTTCATGATCTCAATCAAAAATAATTCATTTAATTGGATTTAATAGCATAAAGGAAAAACCAAGATCCTCAAATACAATATGGAGAACATCGACATAATCACACTTGATGGAGAAACTTTAAAAGAGATGGAAACAACTTTATGTAACTGGTCAGCATCATCGATCTGAAGTAGACTTCAAGGCGATGACAGCATTCTTACTGTTGAAGAACATATGAAACTCAAAATAACTGTCAACCAACACCAAAGTCATAATCTTCAATATGAACGTCAAGACAGTTCTACTGTACGGAGCTGAGACTTGTAGAACTACAACAACTATCATCAAGAAGGCAAAGGTATTTATAAACAATTGTCTACACAAGATACTACTCAGTGTTAGTTGGTCGGATACTATCAGCAACAGCTTACTATAGGAATGAACGAACCAGCTTTTGGATGAAGAGGAAATCAGGAAAAGATATTAGAAGTGGATACGCAATAAAGAAATCATCATCCTGCGTCACGAAGCAAGCGTTAACTTGAAATCCTGAAGGGAAACGGAACAGTAGAAGACCAAGGAATACACTGCACCGATTATTGGAAGCAGACATGAAAAGGATGAATGGCAACTGGAAAAGATTGCCCAAAACAGATTTGTATGGAGAATGCTGGTGAGCGGCCTATGCTCCTCCATAAGGAGTAACAGGCGTAAGTAAGTACGTAATAACAATTATTTACTCAATACAATAATCTCATGTTTTAGTTAAACGATAAACATTACGATAACTAAATTTATTTTAATGATTCACATAATCTTGTTGTTGATATTTTGACTGCAATTTTATCAACCTTAGTTATCCGAATTTCTCTGCATCACTAGGCCTCAACATACACAAGGAGAAAACCAAGGTCCTCAAATAAAACACGGAGAACATCAACCCAATCACTCTTGATGGCGAAACTCTAGAAGATGTAGAATCATTCACATACCTGGGAAGCATCATTGATGAACAAAGAGGTTCAGATGCAGATATAAAGGCGAGGATTATTATTTTATTATTTATTTGAACACATAAATATTGGTACAGGGGGGCACCAAATATATATGCGCCACACAGGCGAGTATTGGCAAAGCAAGGGCCGCATTCCTTCAATTAAAGAACACACGGAACTCAAAACAACTGTCAACAAATATCCAAATCAGAATTTTCAATACCAACGTCAAGGCAATTCCGCTGTAGGGAGCTGAAACTTGTAGAACTACAACAAACATCATCAAGAAGGTACAAGTATCTATCAATAGCTGTCTACGCAAGATACTCAACATCCATCGGCCGGACGCCATCAGCAACAGCCTTCTGTGGGAGAGAATAAACCAGCTTCCAGCTGAAGAGGATATTAGGAAAAGAAGATGGAAATGGATAGGAAAAACATTGAGGAAATCATCAAACTGCATCACGAGGCAAGCGCTAACTTGGAATCCTGAAGGAAAGCGGAAAAGTGGAAGGCCAAAGAACACATTATATCGAGAAATAGAAGCAGATATGAAAAGGGTGAATAACAACTGAAAAGAGCTGAAAAGGATTGCTCAGAACAGATTTGTATGTAGAATGCTGGTGAGCGGCCTATGCTTGTCCATGAGTGGTAACAGGCGTAAGTAAGTATGTAAGTAAGTTATCAAAATTGAATTCAGAGGCTAAATAAAAAAAAATCCATTCAGCATGTGAAGTGAATACTATTGGATTCAAATATTAAAGTCAGTATCAACTCTGGAATACATTCAGCTGATGAGTCTACAAATTGGACGAAATATACCTCTTTTATTCTATTACTAATCACTATGGTAACTGATATGACATAAACATGTAATGATTTCACTATATTCATAATAGTAATTAACAATCAAAATCAATAATTGTGTTTCGTCTAATTTTAAGACTCATCAGATACATTCATGTTTAAATTGGATTAAACAAAAAAAATAAAAAATAAAATAAAATTATTCAACTTACTAAAATAATTAATTTAGGTATACGTAAATTTCCTTGAATTAAAAGTATTTCTGTACATGTTAAACATAAATAATGTGATCCATTATTATTTGGAATTAAACAGGCACTTGTATAATCTTTTGGTTTAAAATGAACATTAACAGACCATGCAAACTCTGTAATAAGTAGTAAATAAAAGAGAAAGATAAATAAACGACATGAATAAATGTTAAAATAAATTTCAAAGGAGTTGAAAAAAGTCTCCCCCCCCCAACAAGTGGGTCATTAAATGCCAGGTTCAAACAGATGCCTTAGAAATATTGCGGGTATCTGCTAGGATCACCGGGTAAGTAATAGTGAAGTTAGACGTAGGGTATTAGAGAATGATGATAAATCAGTTGATGAGGTTATGAATCTTCATCGACTGAAATGATCGGGCCACGTGTTGCGTATGCCTGAACACCGATTACCATGTCGCGCAATGCTGACTAGTGTTGGGGATGGTGGGAAGAGAGTTAGGGGTGACCAAACCAAAATGTGGCATCAGTGCTTGAAGTTACTAACTTCTGGTCTGAGCTATGTTGGCAGATGCAGACTATTTGGTTGTGGTCCGCGTGACTATCGTAAGCAGTAGTTATAAACTCTGAGTGACAAGGCTCAGAATCGATCACAATGGCTTGAGTGTATGTGTACACTCTTTGTCTTCCCTTAAACTATGAGATTAAAATCGCTTCATATCTTTCTTTCTACGAACTTATTCTTTCTTCCTGTACCATGTCGTTATGTGCTTTATTTATTTATGTATTTTAACACATAGATATTGGTACAAGGAGGCACCAAATATATATGCACCACACATCTCATTTGATATGTGTGAGGGCTGTGATGCTGCCCCAGTGTGCAAACCAAACCACGTGGTTTTCTCAGGGGGCCACACACCGAGCCTTCGACCTGAAGATCTGATCCACAAGGCAGTGGAGCATCGTGAGGAGATGCAGTCCCATGGAAGCCGGTGACCAAGAAATCGGTTCATACGCCATTTGTTCCTTCAGGATACTGGAGCTAGTCCATGTGCACCATTTGTTTGGGGTCCGGTTAATGCGCCGGACATTCGCTTTTCGTCCTCTCATTTTCGTAAACAACGCCCGTGGTGCGAGAATGCATTGAGTAGGACTTCCCTGGCAGAGGCTATATACGCGTGGCCATGTGAGAACGTTTCGAGAGGGAGAGCGGACTCTCCTCACTCTCGGCCGTACCAGAGCATTTGGGGGCCTATCTTTCTTTTACATATTACCACCACTGAATTAGCTACTTTTATGAATTCAGTGTTCATCTTGTTGTGCCAATGAGGTGTAGCAACTTAGACCGATGCACATATGTGCCTGGTCCTACGTTGTAACTGATTGACTGACTGAGGTTCAAACCTAAATCCACCTTCAATGAATTTCGTAATCGTGTAATAACATTAGTTCTTTGACTTAGACTGTGATTCAACGTTTAAGGATTTCTTATCAATCTAACTACATTTAAGGCGTAAGTTACATAGGATGATATTTTAGAAATGTATTTTTTCGCTTTGTGATCTCTTACTATCGTATCTATGTAAAGATCTAATTGAGATTGTCAATAGTTCTATCTTATTTCATCTAGTTCTAGATAATTCATTCTCAAAAACTTATCATATTTAGAGTGATTTGTTGGAAACCCTTTAAACAATTGAAGTGTTTTCCTAATAAAGTAGTACACTGCATTTAGAAAATGCAAGTTCAGACTCTTTCTTCTTCTTCTTCTTCGACCAATCTAAGGTTTAGCGATCTTGTCTACTATGAAGATGATTCAATACGCATCACATTCATAAATCATTCTCCTCTACATTTTTAAAACTTTATCAGGAGTAGATTTGGGCTAGCAGTAGGATTCAGAACACTGATTTCATCCTATCAAGGATTTGTCAATTAGAGATTTTTTCACTCCAGTACTGATCCCCACATTGGGGACCTGAGTTATAGCTATCTAGACTCTGTGACACAGTGAAGTCGCTAGCTTTTGAAAAGAAAGGAATGGGATTCCATCCTCAGTGTGAACATAATCATTAAGTTACAAGTAAATCCAATTGATAAGTCCCACATAGAAAAAATTTTTTGTCTTTAATCCCATTGTTAGCCCCACCTTATCGGATGCATATATATGTGAGCAAATACTGGTTAACATTGAGTTCTAGATATCATCAGAGGAATGATATTAAAATGGTTACTAACAATTATATAAACAATGTTAATAATATAATTTAATTATTTTATCCTTGTATCTTTGAACAATTTGTTTGTTGAATTCATGAGTGAATTAAAGCTTAACCACCATGGTAAATCTGGGACTCCCTCAGCAATGAGCATCCACGAACCCGTCTCGTGAGATTCGAACAAAAGATCAATCAGTCTCGTGCGCGAACGCTAAACCTCTAAACCACCGAGTCGGCATCCAACAGTGTTAACGTCTAACTTCAACTAATCCACGAAATTGAGGGACACATCTATCATTGTCTTCAGTGAATTACTACCTCGCAATAGACCCGATTGAACTCCACTAGTCACGTCTTCTCATTAGAACTCCAGGAAATACTTGTTGAAGCCAGTCACTAATGAGCATATGCTGATTAGTATCAGAAGGAGTTTTGTGAATATTATAGTTATTTTTAATAGTTGAGATCATGAGTCATTTGAAGCTGGACCACATAACATTGATCATTATTTAATGATCAGTCATTTGTAAGTATCTTAGTTTTATATGAGATCAATTGAAGACAAAATAACTCAACAGTAATCCCTTAAACCATAAAGCTAAATTATATCAGTCAGTCAGCTGCAACGTAGAACCAGGCACATATATGCATCGGTTCAAATTGTCATAAATTATGTATATTAGAAACGAACAGGGATCACACATTCCCTCAAAATTACTTGTATCCTACTCTAATGTGTGTTATGTAATCTAGGTGATTATCTCCAACCACCATTTATCCAAAATATATAATTTGGACAAATGACTATATTACAACTAGATCGATCAAATTCCATCAGAACTAAAGATCGATCAGTGTAGTATGATATATTCATTAATAAGTAAACATAAACTATAATATGTAACATGATATAGATTAGAGACTGTTATTAATCAGAAATATAACACTATTTCATTCTATGTAATTATGATATTAAAAATAAACATCACTTTTATATCAAATGACCTACGGTAGTTCAACCCCATGTGTGTGTGTGTAGGTGTAGGTGTAGGGGTAGGTGTAGGGGGTAGGGGGTAGGGGTATGGGTATGTGCATTACCTATTCATATATATACTTGATTAAGATTTATATTGATATGGTCATATTCTATTCTGTCGTATATATTTGTTTACATTCATCAAAAAAAAATTACAATTTGTCTCATATTTTACATTATTATGATGGTACAAATAGAGATTGACTATATACTAACTATTTTATTTCATTAAACTAATAATAAATGACATGGTGTCTAGACAGAAATATAATAGATATATACATTAATCAATGAGGGAGGTCATACAAGAGAGAGAAAAATAAAAGAAAAGAAAAGAAAACATAGAATAAAGAACAAAACAAAAACAAGTGACCTTTGAATAGAAATAATGAGTAGTTCAATTGTATTCAGATTCATTTAATCAGTGAAGAAGAAGAAGAAGAATGGAAGATAGAATGACAAGATAGAAGTAAAACTAGTATATTTGTATTACAATCAGAGAGCGATTTTGTGGATATTATATTTGTTGAATTCATGAGTCAATTGAAGGTAAGACCATCATGGAAAATTTAGAAACACTAGACGGCCATTTGGTCCTATTATGGGACTCCTTCAGTAGTGCGTATCCACGACCTTGGGACTTTTGTAAGATAGTAACTCACTGATGATGACAATAGTGGATGGTAGCTCAGTTTTGTGGATTGGTTGAAATTAGACATTAACACCGTTGGATACCGATCGGCTCAGTGGTTTAGAAGTAAAGCGCTCGAGCGCGAGACTGATAGGTCTTGGGTTCGAATTTTGTGGGGCGAGATAGTGGATGCGCATTGTTGAGGAATCCCACAATAGAACAAAACGGCCGTCTAGTGCTTCCATGGTGGTCTAGCTGCAATTAACTCATGAATTCAAACAGTCTACTACTAAGTGACATTATAAACTAACTCATATATCAATAGATGAAGATAACCATAAATATAAATTCGATTGTAAAAATGTAAATAGTTTGTATTGATAAAATTCTAAGAATCTCAAAGAATTTCTAAAAGCATGCGATTCAAACCAATCATCAGTGAATAGACACATCGACAATGACCTAGTCTATGAACCTATACTGGAGAGGTCAATCAGTCACATAATCAAAGGTCAACCAGTTAAGATAGTCAAAATGAATGTAAAAGCGAATGAAGATAGCCGAAACCTACGAAAACAGCCGATCATAAAAAAATGTCATCTGAATGAACCAATGTAATACTTATGGAATAACTAGAAAGGTCACTTCTACATGAAGTAGAGACTGAAGATGCAGTCCAAGATGACGGTAAAAACTCTATGATTCAATCATCTAGTATGGAGAACTCAGCATTGTCTATATATATGTATATATATAATCTTGGTATTGTATGATGAATTATATGACGGATAACGTTTTTACAAACTCAACTTAATCTCACAATAGTAATGGTCACCTTAGTATAACTATACTTGATTGATTGTTTGACTGTTAAGGAGATAATTTTAATTATAATTGGTTGATCAATGTCATCTTTGTTTACTTATTGGTGGTTATCAATTTCTCTCGATCATGTTGAGCGTTAGTTTGAATGAATTCAGATCAAATACATTTTGTTGACATGTTTTGAAGGTTGAAGGAAGTTGTCATGGTGACAAAGGTTCAAATTTTAAATGGAGCACTAGTGCTCTGAAGATTACAGATACCCCTTGTTAATGAGTGCTAAATAAAATGGAACCTAGAGGGAGCAGAATATCTTGTCAACTGTCAGTTGATAATACATTATCAAATAGACTTTGATTATAGCTGAAAAGTCAATGAAAACCCGATGTAACCATTACAACTGGACTATTTTATCTTACGATTAAGGTCTGAGTCAGCCAGTCAGTTAGAGCAACGTAGGACCAGGTACTTACATGCATCGGTCCAACTTGACATACCTCATTAGCACAGCAAAATATACATCGGATTCATAGAAGTAGTTAATTCAATGGTTGTAATTTATACAAGAAAGATTGTATATAAGGATATAATATAGGAACAAAGAATTAGTTCGTAGAAAGAAAGATTTGAAGTGATTTTAATCTCTTAGTTTGAAGGAAGACAAAGAGTGCATACACACACTCAAGCCGTTGTGTTCGATTCTGAGCCTTGTCACCAAGAGTCTCCAACCATTGTTTATGATAGTCACGTGAACCCCAACCAAGTAGTCTGAATCTACCAACATGGCACAGACCAGAAGTTAGTGACTTCAAGCACTGATGCCACATTTTGGTTTGGCTGCCTTTAACTTTCTTCCAACCATCCCCAACACTAGTCAGCATTGCGCGTCGTGGTAATCGGTGTTCAGGCATACGCAGCACGTGGCCCAACCATCTCAGTCGATGAAGATTCATAACCTCATCAACTGATTTACCATCATTCCCTAATACCCTGCGTCTAACCTCACTATTACTTACCCGGTGATCCCAGCAGATACCCGCAATATTTCTAAGGCACCTGTGGTCAAATACTAGTAACTTACGAATATCTTCTACTCTTAAAGACCATGTTTCGCAGCCGTATAGTAGAACGGAACGAACTGCCGCGCAGTATACTCGTCCCTTAATTGATAGACGGATATCTCGCCTTCGCCATTGATCATGTAAGTTGGCGAAAGCCAAACGAGCTTCTCGAATCCGTGTTGAGATTTCGTCAGACACCAACCCATTAGGGTTGATCAGACTTCCAAGATAGGTGAAGTTTTCAACGCGTTCGACTACTTCACTCCCTATCCTTAGTACAGGTGTGGACGTAGACCAGTCCTGAAGCAACAACTTGCATTTAGAGGGAGAGAAGCGCATCCCAAACATTCTGGCATTGTTGCTCAGTGGTACCAAAAGACTCTGCATTTCATCAGCGTCTTCACCAAACAGGACTATGTCATCTGCGTATTCTAAGTCGATATGTGGACCTTCTGGTAAGAGATCGACGCCCGAGAATTCAGTCGATGAGAGCGTTATTTCCATCAGTAGATCTATAATGAAGTTAAACGAAAATTGAGAACCTAGTCGCTAAAATTGGACCACCATCCTTAAGGACCTCTGGAGCCAATCCATCTGGACCAGCTGCTAGAGTTGGGGGACCTACTTCAATGTTCCATTCAGGCTGTCTGGGAATGGAGGGTAGTTATAGAGTAGCTCTGAGTAGTGTGTAACGAACGCTTGATACACTGACCTCGTCATATATTCATACTTGAGCATTGCGAACAATTAGAAGGAGTAAATATGAAAGTAGTTTTAACTCTAAATAACTGGCTTGTACATAGAAACTAAGACATATCTAAATGGTTACTGTTGACCCTTAATCTCTATAAGTTCTTGAGAGTGAGTCGATTCGTGAACTTGTCTGCAGGATGTTACCAACTACTCTACCTGATTAAAGAAAATTTCAGCTTCTAGGGAGTTCAGTAAAACCCCTAAAACGGCCCAAACTAGACTAGAGTACCTGTAAGAATTTTAGCTATTCGTGAAATGAATTTATAAACAAAGATGGATGGTGAACAACAGTCGGATCCAGGACGTGTGTTTCGTCCTATTTAGTACTCGTCAGTTGGATGTACCTGTATCCTAGAGTTCATGTTCACTCCATCTATTTTTGCTTATGGTTGTGACTTAAGGCAATATCGAGGCAATATTCACAGGATGCACATAAGTCAATAAGTGACTGACCAATTGCAATTCTATACATTAATGGGAACATCCAAACAAACAACACAAAATGAATCAAATAATGAGTTATAAAAAGGATTAATTTCTCATTGGAAACCAAATAATTATATATTTAACATTAGTATATAAAATTTTAACATGATGATTGGAATCGATTTCGACTCTTTGACGTTGTCAGTCATCGACTAAGTTTATCAGGTGGATCCTACAACTGGATAATTCACACGTTCTCATACAGTTTGATCAAACATTCAATGTATTATCAGTATAGCGTTATGGAAATTATAAAGTTTTTAATTGGGATCATGGGCCGATTGATGTTGGAGCATCATCGAAAACCTGGGAGCACTGGACGACCGTTTCGTCCTATTGTAGGACTCTTTAGTAGCCAGTGGGACTAATCCATGTCGGGTAGAGACAGGTATCTACCTCAGTATAATGAAAGATCGTAGCGCAATTTCGTGGATTGATAAAGGTTAGACATTAACACCGTTGAATGCCGGCTCAGTGGTCTAGAGGTTAAGCGTCCGCGCGCGAAACCGAAAGACCTGGGTTCGAATCTCTCGAGCGGGATCGTGGATGCGCACTGCTGAGGAGTCCCACATAGGACAAAATGGCCTTTCAGTGGTCCCATGTTTTCAATGGTGGTTTAACATCAATCGGTTCATGATCTTAATAAAAAAAAATCAATGTATTCACGAATTAATTCCATGCTGAAGGAAGAATATATCAATTAAAATCCAATCTCATTGTCAGTAATCTTTAATAAATCATTGACAATTAAGGAAAACCAATTCAGATGACAGCGATTATGTATTCCAATAAGGCTTGTAATTTCTTTTTGTTTATATTCAGGACAGTAATTGATAAGAATTGTTTTCATATATCCATTCTGAACCGATGCCTTACTAATATATTCTCTCAAAAGTTTTTAATACATTTGGTATATAACTAACAATGGAATCCAAAGGATACACGTTCTATCATATTTTAGCTTTATCAGTCAAATGTTTCACATTCTCATTATTGATGTTCATATTAAACCTTGAACCCAATATTTTCCGCTACAAACTCTTGAATCAGACGAAATATATCTAATTGAATTCCACTAAAACCATATGTTAGAACTTGTGGCTTGTGTCCTATTTATCTATAACGTAATGATACTGCCAATTAGAGAAACAGTGATTTATCGATCGAACCAATGACTCATAAAAGCCGTACGAGCAGTTTCGAGTCTTTACCAATCCTGCTTCTTGACTAACTCTGCCTGTTGAGTCCAGAACACCAATCTCAGCCTCTGCAATATGAATCGTTTATTTCAAACATACTGGTCAGTCAGTCAGTAACATCGTGGAACTTCGTAAGTACGTACATCAGTTCGAGTTGCCATACCACATTAGCACAGAGATGCAGTTGTCCATTCAAATCCCATAGTGGTAGAGGTAGTAAAAGTATAAGCAGTAATTGGTAAGATTAGGGTTTGAAGATGTTACTGAATGAGTATAACCCGGTGAAATAAATTTGGAAAGAGGAAAAAAGGGAAATGAAGAATTCAGAAGATTAGAGTTTGGGTGAACACATACATACTGGGTTTATATACAAACTAAACAGACCACATCGTACCGTAAAATAGGAAATAACATTTGTACAACATTTAGCCAAATGTGACTGTGAATGTGGGAGACAGTAATTGATAGACTGGGTATAACTCAAGGATGGTAAATCGTATAATAATAGTCTATAGATCAAAATGAAGCTTATAATAAGAGGAACACCAATATGAATAGTTTAGTTACTTAACAATTATACCATAAAAATAAACGTATACTATTTTTCGAGAAAAACTCCACCTAGAGCCGCTCTGGGGCTACTGTCGATCCCAAGCCCGGACAAAGGAGAAAGTTTGGGCATGTGGTTAACCACCTTATCCCATAGAAAACTAACTCACTAAATAAACACTAACCATAAAAAATAATTCAAATCATTTAAACTTTGTCCTGAGAGTTAGAAAATCTTCATTTAGAAGAGTTATAACGTCTAATTTGTAAAAGCTAAGTTCCTTTGAAAATCACAAGGCTGATGCCCTCCTTCTTAATAACTAGAACAATCATTAATTTCGTATAATGTAGGAGATACGAACAGTTATCCAAATTGCTAAATACATATTTATTCACTTTGAGCTATTCTATTTTCTTCTATTTATTTATTTATTTATTTTAACACATAGGTATTGGTACAAGGAGGCACCAAATACATATGCGCCACACGAATCTCAATTGATTTGTGTGAGGGCTGTGATACTACACGGGTGCCAAAACCGAAGCAGGTGGTTTTCTCAGGGGGCCACACCCTGAACCATCGACCTGAAGATCTGATCTACAAGGTGGTGGAGCATCGTAAGGAGATGCAGTTCCATAGTAGCCAGCCGGTGACCAACGATTGATTCATACGCTATTTGTTCCTTCACGATACTGGAGCTAGCCCATGTGCACCATTGGTTTGGGATCCGGTTAAAGTGCCGGACATTCGCTTTTCGTCCTCTCATTTTTGTAAACAACAGTTATGCCACGAGAATTCAGTGAGTAGGACTTCCCTGGAAGAGGCTATATACGCGTGGCCATGTGAGAGTATTTGGAGAGGGAGAGCGGACTCTCCCCACTCTAAACTGAACACAAAGAATATATATAGTTTAGTTGCTTAACAATGACACAATACAGGAATCTATATGTATAGTATTAATCCATAAATAGATCCCATTAGTTACCATTTATTATTCTCATCGGGATATATATAATACTATACTGAATATTAATGTTTGTTTGATTTTCAACAACAACAACACCAACACCAACAACAACTAACATTAAAAGAAACACACAATAAAAAGAGGGGAAGGGAATCAACTTACCAATATCTGGATAAGCATTAATTTGTTTATTCATAGTAATAATTTTATTTAATGATGCTAAGCATAAATTTCTTTCATGAATTGTATTAAATTCAAATATAAAATGTTTTCCTGATTCTAGAAATAGACCAAGTAGAATATTTGATGTATTATTGACAAAATGATTATTATTATTATTTTTATTATTATTATTATTAGTAGTAGTAGTAGTATTGTTAGTAGTATTGGTAGTAGTATTGTTAGTAGTATTGTTAGTAGTAGTAGTAGTATTGTTAGTAGTAGTAGTAGTAGTATTGTTAGTAGTATTGTTAGTAGTAGTAGTAGTATTGTTAGTAGTATTGGTAGTAGTAGTATATTTAGGTTGATTATTTGTACACATTTGTTGACTTGTATTTAATTCATTAGAATTTATAGATACAGTGGAGTTTATTGTTTGTGAATTAGAATTAATTAATTTACATGATTTACTTTTGTAGGATTTTGTAAATGACTAGACGTTTGTTTGATTAAAAGAAGAAAAAAAAAGAAAAAGAAAAAAGAAATAAGATAAATTAGTCAAAAAGAATTAATGAACTATTCATTTAATGAAAATTATTTTAAGTAAGAAAGGTTTATTGGATTAGTTAAGTTGGATTTAGAGAAAGTTTGCTGAGATTTGCTGACACATTTATCATTGTCTTCAATGAGTTACTATCACACCAAAGACCTGGTTGAACACGAGTGATCACTGTTTCTCAGTAGAACTCGAGGAAATACCTCTTCTTGAAACCAGTCACTAGCGAGCATATGTTGATTTGTATCAGAAAGAGTTTTGTGGATATTACAGTAATTTCAATAGTTGAGATCATGAGGCAATTGAAGCTGAGGAGTCCCACAATAGGACGAAACGGCTGTCCAGTACATCCAGGTTTTCCATGGTGGTCTAGCTTCAATTAACTTATGATCTCAACTATCGAAAATTACTATAAAATCCACAAAAATCCTTTCTGATACTAAATCATTTAACTTAGAACAATTGATAACACATGAAAAATAATTTGTTTTCTTTAGTTCAATAATTTACCTCAAAACCTGACACATAGATCTAATATGGCACAATAAATGGGATAAAATTATATTATTTCATTTAAACATATAAACATTGGTACAAGGAAGCACCAAATAGATCTCTACCATATAAATCATTCGATTTGTGTGAGGGCTAGAATACTGCCCAGGTGGCCAAATTTAAGTAGGTGGTTTTCTAAGATGGCTACACTCCAAGTCTTTGATCTAAAAGTCTAATCCACAAGGCAGTGGAGCAACGTCAAGAGATGCAGTTTAATGGTAGAAGGTGAACAATCATTGGTTCACATGCCATTTGTTTCCTTAGGGTTTTAGAGCTAGCCTATGTGCACCATTTAGTTTGGAATCAGGGTTTTCTACCTCCCCAAGGTGGATCCTCCATATCCACTAACCCAGTTAAAGCGTTTGATATTAGCTTTTCATCCTCTCAATGTTGTAAATAACACCCGTGGTGTGAGAAGGCAGTGAGTAGGACTTCCCTGTCAATGATTGTATGCACGTGACCATATGAGAGCATTTCAAGAGGGAGAGTTAACTCTTTCCACTCTCGACCATATCAGAGCATTTGAGGGGAGGAAAGGATAATTAGTTAATTCAACATTTTTTCTAAAAAGAAATACACAACATCTTACCAATTTTCATAACTTACTGATGAATAATTATTTACAGAATGACAAGATGATCCTGTTGATGATGATGCTGTTGCTGTTACTGCTGATGTTGCTGCTGCTGATGATGATGATAATGACAATGAATGATGAATATAATTCATTGATTTTTGTGAATAATATTGTAACCATTTTAATTTAGTTTTAGATAATTTATATGATAAATTATAATTTGATTTATTATTTCTATATAATATTGTTGCATAAAATAAATCATTTAATGATTGAATAATTGAATTTGTTTTTTGTTTTACATAATCATTATCATTTAAATAATCATTAATTAGATTCAATGAAGTAACATTAGTATTAGTATTAGTATTGGTATTGGTAGTAGTAGTAGTAGTAGTATCAGTAGTATTAGTATTAGTGTTAGTATTGGTAGTAGTAGTAGTAGTAGTATCAGTAGTATTAGTATTAGTGTTAGTATTGGTAGTAGTAGTAGTGTCAGTAGTATTAGTATTAGTGTTAGTATTGGTAGTAGTAGTAGTATCAGTAGTATTAGTATTAGTGTTAGTATTGGTAGTAGTAGTAGTAGTAGTAGTATTGGTGTTACTATTAGTAGTATAATCAGTAGTATTGGATGGTATATTCGTTGATGTTGTTGTCGTTGAATCTATTTCAATTTGATTAGTTTGTTCATTATCATTAAATTGATGTAATAAAAATTTTTGAATAATCCAATTTGTATTAGAATTAAATTTATATTTCCATTTACATTTAGATTGATAAATAATTAAATATGAATTTTTATAATTTAATTGAGTAATAATTTCTATATATTGTGGATGATGAGTCTAGTCAAAATAGAATGTAAAACAAAATAAATATATATAATATAATTTTAATAGTTGAGATCATGAGTCAGTTAAAGCTAGACAATCATAAAAAAAAAACTTGGAAGCATTGGACGGCCGTTTCGTCCTAGTATAGGACTCTTCAACAGTGCACATCCATGATTCCGTCTCCCCCGGGAGATTCGAACCCAGAGCCTATCAGTCTTATGCACGAGTGATTAACCACTAGACTACTAGTCCAGTGCTTCCAGATTTTCCATAGTGGTTTAGCCTCAATTGATTCATGATCTCAACCATTGAAATTACTATAATATCCACAAAATCCCTTCTGACATATATAATTAAAGTAAATAATACTTCGTTATAAATAGTTTGGTTTGTGAGTCAATTTAAGTCATTCAGTCAACAATGTAGAACTTTGTACGTATGTACATCAGTTCGACTCCTCCTGTAGCTCTTCCAGAGTTATTACCAGTCCCAAGCTCGAGTAAAGGAGATGGGTTGGGCATGGGGGTTAGTGACTCCACCTTGTAGAAAACTAACTCGCTAAAAAATACACTAACCAGGAAAAACGCTAATATCAGTTCGAGTTGTCATAATACATTGGCACACAAATACAATTATCGATTCAAATCCCATTGTGGTAAAGATAGTAAGAGTATAAGCAGAAATCGAGAATATTTCGGTTTAAGTCAATTTAAACTAGATCATTATTGATAATCTAGAACTACTAATGAAAACATTACAATCCTCACAAATTCATATACTGATAATAATTATGTGTTAACTATTGACTAATTTGAAGATGAATTCACTAGAGTTCTAATGAAAATCCATGATTAGTGAAATTCACTCAGTGTCAGATGTGAGACAATTATCTACTTCAGACAGTGAATGAAAGCTTGCGCAAGATCATGGATCAACTGATGCTAGATATTAACATTAATATTAACGTGATGACTTGCTTAAGCATCTGGGCCCCAAATGCCCTGGTACGGCTGACAGTGTGAAGAGTCAACTCTCCCTCTCCAAGTGTTCTCATATGACCATGAGTACACAACCACTGACGGAAAAGTCATACTCACTACCTTCTCGCGACATTACTGTTCTTTACGAAATTGAGAGGACGAAAAGAGAATGTTCTGAGCTTTAATCGCGTTGGTGGATATAGAGGGTTCACATGGGGGAGTTGGAAAACCCTCATTCAAAACCAATTGTGTAAATGGACTCCATGATCTTGAGGGTAAAAACGGCGTATGAATCTTTTGTTGGTCACCGGCTACCATGGAATTACATCTCCATACGTTTCTCCACTGCCTTGTGAATTAGACCTTTAGAACAAAAGCTCGGAGTGTAACCCCTAAGAAAACCATCTGTTTCGGTCTGGGCGACCGCTTAGTATCATACTCAACACATAAATCAAGTGACATGTGTGACGAATATGTGTTCGGTGCCCCTTTGTACCAATATTTATGTGTTTAAGTAAATAAATAAATAATTAATCTATCTAGATGTTTCAAGAAGTTATCTTATTTTTTTTGTCTTAATACATCATTATGTCTATTAATCCCATAACCGATTCAGGTGCATTTCTGCAAAGTGTACAACCTTTTGTTGTACAAGTTACAAAAGGCCCAATCAGAGATATGTTGCAGGCTGGCAACATGCAGCGAAAACAATGTATATCATTTCGATGTCGGTTCACTGAACTGTTAACATCCAACTAGCAACCACTTAATATTTATCATCAGTATTGATCAAGAAGTAAAAAACGGAAACTTGTTGAAATAATTTGTGCTGAGAATTTTATATTGTACCAAAAACTATAATATTGAATAAGGCTAATAATAATAATAATAATAATAATAATAATAATAATAATAATAATAATAATAATAATAATAATAATAATAATAATAATTGTCGGTTCAGTGGTTTAAAGGTTAAGTGTTCACGTGTGAAACCGATGGTTCTGTGTTGAAGTCCCATGTGAGGGATTGTGGATACGCATTACTGATGAATCCCATACTGAAATGAAACGACCATCTAGTACTTCCAAGTTTTCAATAATGGTCTAGCTTAAATTGACTCGTGAATTCCACTATGTAAATACTACAATCTCAACTAATAAAATAAATATATTGATTAGTATTCATAAATATTATCCATGATTGATTATGAATTAAGTTTGTTGTTTATGAGTGACTATAGTTACCTGTCTTGTCGAATTATAATAAGTCAATAAAAGTTTAAATACATAAATTAACGATTATATTTTCAATTGTAGTTGACAATGGAATGTAGTTTCTACCCACAGGAAATCAATCAGTCCGCGTTTATAACTGAGCTCGAACCCAGAAACCATTACAGGCTGAGTTATGGAAGCCAATACTTGTTAAATGAATATTTGTAGTCCGTTCATTTTCGTAGATTAAAATTATAAAAAACTTGACAATCTCTACAACACCTAAACTGATAATTACAATGTGCTCACTAGTGACTAGCTTCGTGATATAATTCTCGGAATTCTGGTGAGAAGTCGTGACCAGTGGAGCTAATCCGTATCGGGTAGAAACAGGTGTCTACCTCAGTACAATGGAAGATTGTCGCGCAACTTCGTGGATTGGTTGAGGTTAGACATTAACACCGTTGAATGCTGACCAGCTCAGTGGTCGAGTAGCTTAAGCGTTCGCACGCGAGACTGAAGGCCCTGGGTTCGAATCTCACAAGCGGGATCGTGGGTGCGCACTGCTGAGGAGTCCCACAATAGGAAGAAACGGCCGTCCAGTGCTTCCAGGTTTTCAATGGTGGTCTAACATCAATCGGTTCGTGATCTCAATCAAAAATCAAATCGTTATAACTAATAATATACGTACATAAACCACCGGTTGAAAATAGACTTAGAGACTAATCATTGTTGCGTACTGTTTAGTCAACTAAAATATTTCTTCAGCCAATATTCAACATTAAATGCCATCTTAACGAGATAACTGTGGTTCTCTATAGTGACAAATTAATCGAGTTATATTAGCTTAAACAATTTTTTCTTAAGATTTGATCTCGCTAAGCGGCTAATTTCGAGAGAAACAAAAGTAAAAACAGCATATTTGAAATCTAAGGTAAAATAGGTAATGCCAGCTCTAGTGAGTTGTAACAGAAGTAAGCGATTTTTAAAGGATAAATATCTCCACACATACTACTCCCCTCAAAGTAAAAGGGATATTAAATTAAGTTTCATTCAAAGATAACATACCACCCCTTTCCTGACAAGTTTTTGAAGCTGATAGTAAACTCTGAATATTATGAAGGTAATATTTCAAAATCTACTCATAGATTAAAGTCATAAGTCTAATCGATCACAGTTAATTTCTGCTGTGCCCCCAAATGCCCTGGTACGGCCGAGAGTGGGGAGAGTTCGCTCTCCCTCTCCAAATGCTCTCACATGATCACGCGTATATAGTCTCTGTCAGGGAAGTCCTACTCACTAAATTCTCGTGGCATAACTGTTGTTTACGAAAATGAGAGGACGAAAAGCGAATTTCCAGCGCTTTAACTGGATCCCAAACTAATGGTACACATGGGCTCCAGTATCCTGCGAGAACAAATGGCTTATGAACCAATCGTTGGTCACCGGCTACCATGGGACTGCATCTCCTTACGATGCTCCACTGTCTTGTGGGTCAGATGTTTAAGTCGAAGGCTCGCAGTGTGGCCCCCTAAGAAAACCACCTGCTTCGGTTTGGGCACCCGGTCAGTATCACCACAGCCTTCACAGATATCAAATAAGATCTGTGTGGCGTATATGTTTTTGTTGCCTGCTTGTACCAATATCTATGTGTTAAAATAAATAAATCATTTCTGCTGTAACATTCCTCAATTACAGTGAATGTTTCCAACGTTACTACTTTCTAGGTCTATCAAAAAAGAATTAATAGCATTATTGATCATATAGGACACTAGATTTTTTATAAATCATTAACAAATATTTCATCTATTAATTCGGGAAAACATTTGTGACATTTACTAAGGAAACAATGTATATATATACATACATACATACATATATCTTGAATATATTTTATACTAGAAATGATAAAACTAATGAGAGAATATTTTATAAACTAAGACATTTATTATGTAATACTGCATAACTTAAGTAAATGGTTTAACTTAAACATAATTACAAAGTAAGAACTGTTTAGTTGATAATTTAAAAGTAAAGTCAGTCAATCAATCAATCAGTAACAACGTAGAACTTCGGACATATGTACATCAGTTCGAGTTACCATACCACATTAGCACAGAGATGCAGATGTTGATTTAAATCTCATAGTGGTACAGCTAGTAGAAGTATAAGCAGTAATCGGAAAGATTAGGGTTTGAAGATGTTATTTAAGGAGTATAATCCAGTGGAATAGATTTGGAAAGATAATAAAGGACATGAAGAATTCAGAAGATTAGAGTTTGAGAGAACACAAAGAGTGGATGCACCTGAACCATTGCAAACAATTTTGAGATATGTCATTCAAGGTGTCTAATGATCGGTTGCTATCGTCTCGTGGAACCCAACCAGGTAGCCTACACCTACCAACATCCCTCAGTCAATTTGTCAGTGACTTCATGGATTTATGCCATGTTTTGGTCTGACTGGCAAAAGCTAGTCGAGCCTTCTGTATCCGTGCTGAGAATTCGTTCACACATCAGACTACCAAGGCTGATGAGACTTCCAAGATAGGTGAAGCGGTCGACACGCTCAACTACTTTACTCCCTATCACTAGTTCGGGTGTCGATGCAACCTAATCCTGAAGCAACATTTTGCATTTCAAGGGGGAGAATCGCATCCCGAACATGCTTGCATTGTTACTTACGGTGGTCAGAAGGGTTTGCATTTTGTTAGCGTCTTCACCACATAGAACTATGACATCGGCATATTCTAAGTCAACAAGTAAATCTCCTGCTAAAGCTTCAACTCCTAGAAATTTAGATAAGGAAAGTGTTA